AAACCAACAAAAAAAAATACATATTAGTAGATTTTTCACTTTTCTATATATTAGTACTCAATATCCTAACACAGTTGGGCTTTCTTAGCTTTATATCTGCATTATGCTTTTATGCAGAACCTAAAATTTAATACTTGACATTGTGTTTTAATGCAAAATGGTATGTTAAAAGTCTTCCCAAATTCAACCCTTAATTAGCTGTCAATACTAGAAATTTGTCATTATAATTTCACAAGACCTGAAAAATTTCAATAAATGCTTTAAACTGTTGACTTTTACTTACAAAGAGAAATTAAATGAAATATTAAAATATCTTAAACACCATAAGTTATTACATTCATTCAGCATCAACCAACCTATCCTCAAGGTGACAAGGTAGTGCCATCTATTGGTTAAAATAGTACAATCCCTTTTTTTCAACCTTTTAGGGTAGAAAATTTCTAACCTATTCAAGATTGGAAAGAACAGTATAATGAACCCCCATGTATCATCCAGCTTCAATAAATATCAACTCACGGCCAATCCTGTTTCATTTATTCTGTCCCTGCTTCCCAATTTTGAAACAAATCCCAAATATCACACAGGCTTTAAGAAGTCTGTGATAAGCCATCAATGTGTCTTTTCTTTGGAAAGCATGTCTATGAACGCAAATGTCAACAGATGTGTATATGTCCTCAAGTATTAAAAGTATAAGAATGAAAAAAAAATGCTATATGCATATCCATGAAATTCAGTAGGGTTCTCTAAGACAGCCAGAGAGAAAGGATCCCACCAGGTGATAGGACATCTGTGTTTTAATCCTAGTCCAGTTACTCATTGATCAAAAAATGTAGTGTCCCAGTTTCTTCATCTATAAAATAAGGTGGTGAGTTAGAATAATCTATAAGGTCCTTTCCAATTAAAAAATTCTGTGTACTGATTTCACCTTTTAAGTATGCTTAAGCACATGGAAAAGGCCACCCATAAGCAAGTTGTTTCTTTAAGCTGATTTTAAACCTTATAAATATATTAAGAACACAACAACAAACTTTTAAAGACAAGAATCTCTATGTATACACCATCTGTAATTTCATCCATACTATATGCAATACATAATGTACTCTTAGATTCCTTTTGTGGATGTATATATAGTACAGAACATATATAATACAATTTCTAACTGCAATTATTTCTCTTAGCATCTTTTAAAAGTAACAAAATATAAATATTGTCTTCAGGATCTTCATGTGTCATGCACCCTTACTAAAAGAATTTTTGGGACACTTTCACAACAAAATCCTCTCGTAGATGAAGTCTAGCACGTTCTCATGTAAATACTGTTTTCAGGAACTAAATAGAGAAACAAATAATAGACTCTATACTATAGTAACATGCTCCAGAACAATCCATTAGGTTCAAATTAATCACAACAGCATTAAGTTTTCTAAAAAGTACCAAGAGAATTAAAAGATTATGTCCTCAGGAACAGGGTTTGTAAGTTAAATATAAATTACTGAATACGATTTTTTTAGCATAAAAGAACTATTATGTTGGAACCTGTGAAATACATAAAACATACAAATTTGCAATTTTGAGATTTCATTTTTAAGTCTCTTACAAGTACTAATTAGAAAAATTGCAAGACCTATATATGTACTATCTTTAGATGACTCCAAATCTTGTGATACCTCTTCTTCTCTGTCACTGTAGCTTTTAAAATTTCATACAAATTGTGCTTCTATAAAAATATAATTAAACTATATTGGAGATAAAACCAAAACCAACTTTTAATGAATATCTACTAAGAGGTCAAATGTACTTTATGACCCCTAAGCACTTAACATACTGTACTTTATGCCCCTATGCCAAAATGTATAGCAACTTATCACTTAGTACCACATATGCTACTAAGTATGCACATTCATAACAGCATTGTAACTTGCAGAGCAAACGGCCTCTCACACTGTGCTGGCTCTCGATCTCTTCGTGCTTCTGCTGTAGGGCCTGGGAAGCCCTGATGGAGTCGCCAATCCCCCACTGCGCTCTTAGTTGTTCTGATCCAGGCCCTTCGAGCCAGTTCACGACCTATAAATGAAAGTTGAGATAAAATTTTTAAATGGTCAAAAGCTTTCCAAACTTTCATTTTAATTTCTTTTTTCCCTCCCAAAATTCTTCAAGTATTTTTAATTTAAATTCTTTAAATTCTATTTTCATAGGCAGTAACTGTTTCTTTTAGAATTATACAGCTATAATGGACAACATTTCCAAAACCTTGATTTGGAAAAATGTACACTGTAGCACCTTAGCTTTTCAGCTATCTGATCATCTACCAGGCCAAAACAAATCTGGAATGCTTCTACAAAAGATTCAAAATGAACTTATGATGATAAGAAAATCAGAGAACTTTAGGATTTAGAGTTGGAAAAAATATCATAAATGATATCGGTCAAAGTTCTTATTTAACACTTAAAAAAACCTATTTTTCAAAGTGATTTGTCCAAGGTAACATAATCCATTATTGAAAAACTAAGACTAAAAGCCATGTGTCCTGACTCATAATCTAATGTTCTTCCCAAAGCATTAATAAAACTGAATGTATGAATTAACTAATATAAATTTAGTTTATTCACTAATATAAAGTTGATATACTACTTTCTCACTTAGAAAAGAAAATTAAACACTAACTGTAGAATTATACTACGGTAACACCCTCTAAGGGTCTTCTTAGGATCAACTATATATTCAGATCCACAAGAGGCTCCAACTAGTCTGCTCAGAAGGATACAGGGAAGGGACTACAGTCTGCCAGGATGACAGCAGTAGGAGTCCCTCTTCTGTCGAGTCCCTGAGGCAAGTGTAAGGAGAGGAGATCTGGATGGGGCAGGTATGGGAGACACTCTGGCATTAAAACTTCATAGCCTGCAGGGCCAGGCCTGTTATAAGAGTCACTAAACTCAAGGACACTTAAAGTTACGCCTTCTATTGTCAGGTGCTCTTTAGAATGCAGTGGTTTATTCCTCAACAACTCTATTTTTTCTGCTTTAATCTTTTGTTTGAGCTATCTCTGGAAGTGCAGGGCACTAGGAATTGATCTCTCCCTGTTAGCCGGTGGGAAGTATCCCCCTTTCACAAAGAGACAGATGAGCAGTGCTACATGGAGAAGGCACTGTGCATGAGTCTGAATTCTGGCTCTGCTCCTACTAATTCAAAGACTTTGGTTCCTCATCTTTAAAATGGTGTTACTGATACTACCACACAGGATTGTTGTCAGGACTATACCAGTGATTACATGTAAGACACTTCGCACGGTCAGTGATACGAATACATGCTAGCCTCTTTGTTTTTCCCACTTTTTCTGTAGCCTAGTGCCTTCTGTCCACTCACCCTTTATAAAGTCTCTCACATCTGCATTTTACAATAAGAACCCCGAGTTTCTTAGGAAAGTCCCTCAACTAACTGTTGTATTCAACACTTTAAAAAATGGAAATAAAAAGAATAAATTTTGAGGAAACTTAGGTAAACATTTTAGAACAATTTTCCATTTCCTTCTTGGCAATCAATTGCTTCTCATTTATAACTATGTGTTACAAATACGGATATAGAAACACTGAGATTATTTAAAATACTTAAAAATCATTTTATCTCAGTGTTTTTAAGTATTTTAAATAATTAACATAATTAATAATTTCACTAGACATTTCTAAATTCTAAAAATAGTGAGACAAAAGCATCTTAAAAATTTTAAACTAATTAGTAATGTATTATTATATTGTCTATATTGTTTTTAGAAATTTAAGACAACACCAATTCAAACATTTAGACGTTGATTTTAGAATATTCTAGAAACAAAAGAAGCAGATTAATAAAATCATTATAGCTGGGGGGAAAAACAATTCATTAGCATGGACTTTTCAAAGAGCCATAAATTTAAAAATAAATTTTAAATAAAACAAAGGCATCTCCTTGCTGCAAAAAAAAAACCACAACAATCATATAGTCAAGTGCATGTATATATAGCTTTAATGTATGCTGAAAGCAGTTTCCCTTAGTATGCAACATCCGTAAACGCAGACGTAGTTAATGTATGACTATTTCTAATAAAAATGATGCAAATTGAGGTTGATGCCCCAGTAAACAAGTCTATTTAAATGCATTAATAATGGCTGTTTGCCAAACTAGGTTATAAAATGTAATTTCAATCAGGACATCTTGCTCAATCAATCTGAATATTAACTTACTACAAAAATAGTTCTATGCCCAATCCATATCAATGTGACCCTTCCAATGGTTACATTTATATGCAAAGTATAACCTTGGAGATGTGTTCTTAAAATCCACCATGACAAATGCTTGCAGCCAAAAATGCTTTTGACTATCCAACCTTCTTTCATAGCCAGGCTGTTTTTTAAAGGCTGTATGAGAGACTATCTGGAAGTATGCAAGGTCAAACCAGGCAGAAGGACATATCAAGGCAAATGTAAAGCATGTGACCTGGAGAAAGAGTATGAGGAATTGAAAACATAGCCTTCAGCTGTACGCTTATGCAACTCTGAATGTATCCTATTTGGCATCTATGATTTCTCTCTACAAAGGAAGAAATGCACATGTATGATTCTAGAAATAACATTTGCAGTGCTGGCAGTAATTACTGCCATAATAAATAATGAGAATAACGATAGCACATTTCAGTGAAGTGGGATTGTCTCCCACCCAGAAGCATGTGAAATCTAATTTTTAACTGTAACAGCAGCCACAATATGGAGAACCTTTGCATACGACATGAAGTCTGGGGCTAGCGATTTGAATCATGGGGAGTAAGTGACTGATAACTATAATAGTTACTACTTATGATACAGTTTATGTATCAGAGCTATCAATTTCTCTGGCATTATGTTTTCAGTGATAACTCAGTAAAAAAATGAATTTGGAACAATTTAATTTTCACTGATTCAACATAAATAGAGATATTGAATTTATAATTATCTTTATGGAAGCAAAAAAAATATTTTTACATTTTCCTCAAATTTGCAAGACTGAAAACAGTATAGTTCATGCTCAGTGTGATCAACATGTGATCAATATATGTTATTATGTAGTTAAATATATGTTACTGTATAGTTGAATATATGTTATAATATAGTAGTCATTTTGGCAAGGGAAATAAATATTTCCTTATAATGTGAGCTCTGAAAAACAGAGTGCAGGAAACGTTACATGGTGAATATTAATGTTCTAACCAATTTATTGTAACCCTCATAAAGCAAACTGAATTGTAATGAAGTTTACTTGTTTTTAACAATCATCTCATTGCCATCAACACCATCACTGTAAATATAATCATTATCTCCTTTCTCCAGTTTCTTCCTTATCCAATTGAGCTGGCCCATTATTTCAAAAATGTGTTTGCCAATACAATTCCTTTGCCCCTCTGTCTTTCTGTCTACTCATTTATCCCATTTAGCAAAGCACACATGTGGGATGAATTCTCTCTCTGTGCCTGTACCACAACAGCCAGCCACAAATTGTCAGATAGGGTCACCTAAAAAGCCAGAAAGATTCTACCATAAATTCAAGATCAATACTACCCCAAAATACAACTACATTTCTGTGATATGAAAGTTGTCAGATCAAAATGGAGTTTTTAAAAACAAATAAAACCTGTGACAAATAGAGCCGGGGAAGGCCATAAAGAGAGGGCTCTCATGCTTGTATGCCCGATAACCAAAACTATCACAAAAGACTACAAAAACCACAACCTTGCACAGAGGCCATCATGACTTTGCACAAAATACACTTCTACAAGAACATCTGCCCAGCAACTGCCTGTCCAACCTCAGACTGGCATCACCCTTGTTATTGATCTTTGTAGACAAGGATAATTATTTCAAAACAATTATGTAATCTTCCTCATTTTTTTTTCCTTTAAAAACCTTTGTATTCCTTTATCTCCCTGAATACACACATAGTTTACTATGGCACATGTATTCCTATTGCAAGGCTCTATTCCCAAATAAACATCATTTTCTTTTAGAGAGCTTCTTTCTGTTTGTCATTTAGGTTGACAGTGATAATTTCACCCTTCCATTCCCCTACAGAGAAAATTTTGAATCACCTCCACTCCATTCAAACCTTTGATCCTCTTCAATTACACCCAATCCATATTACCACGCAGGTGGCTTTTTCTGTCATGCCAAAAAAAAAAGAACACGTCACACATTAACTCTTTCAACTTCTTGATGCTTGAGTTGCACACGGAGGCACCTCTGGATTCACCCTAGCCATCCTTCCTCCTGTTACAAAAGAGGAGTTCTCCCTTTTCCATTCTAAAGCTAATCCTTTTGATTGTACTTTGGATTTCATTTACTTATCCTAATCCTACTCCCACCACTCTTGGCACTTGGCACAGTTGTAATTTGACAACTCTGTGTGTCATCATGTTATTATGGACCATAAAGGTGAGAAGCTTGTCTATTTTTACTTACCATTACATTCCTGAGCCTAACACAATGTCACACTATTGTATACTTTCGTTTTGAATGAGTAAACTAATATACTTTTTAATAGAGGACTCATTATCTTCCAGGCACTAAACATTTTATAAAAATTATCTTTTTTAATCCTTGTAACAGTCCAATTAAGTAGGTATTATTATTATTGTTTGTGTTGTTAATATCCTCTGTTTACTGAGGAGGAAACTAGGACTCTGGTCCAAAGGTCAAGCAGCTTGTAAGGGGAAGAAGAGGGTGGACCCAGATTCCCTAGGTTCAGAGTCTGAATTTTGTACCACTATGCTCTTCCATCTCTGTGGTTTTCTGAGATAATCTCAAGCTAACTGGCTAAAGCTTCCCTGGGTTTAATATAAACTGTCTTTAATTTATACAAGAAAAGTCACACATAATGCATGCTCGGAAATTTCCAGTTTATATGTGGTTATCACGGAATAAAGCCTAAATCCTTTTGCCTGGAAATTTAACATCTTCCATGATCCAACTCGTTCCTTCCTTTCAAGTTTTTTTTCCCACGACATTCTGACGCTTTAGTTCACAGGTCATAAACTAGATTAATTCTGCGGGCCAATTCTGACTCACTACCTGCTTTTGTAAATAAAGTTGTATTGAAGAACAGCCATGCACATTCATTTATATAATGTCCATGTCTGCTCTTGACTATAACTGGAGAGTTAAGTAGCCACAACTGCAACAAAGACTATATTGGTACACAAAGCCTAAATATTTGTCCTTTTACAGAAAAGATTTGCTAACAACTGAACTAGACCTTTAAAGTAGAGTCTAGTTCAGTAGAAATAAATATAATAGCTACCATTAATTGATGGCTGGGTCCTTCTCAAGCATTAACCTTTCAAAAGAGGTATATAACAAGTCATGCTCTTTACAAATACAATACTTATAATTGTTTTCCCTGTTTCAATTAAGGAAAGAAGGAAGATAGGGAAAGAAAGAGAGGAAGAAAAGAAATAAAGAAGACAGATTAATGAGGCTCAGGTAGGTAAAGCAACGTGACTATGATCACACAGCTAATAAGTGCAGGAATGGGGCTTGAGATCATGCTCTCTGATCATGCTCTATGACTCAAAAAGGCCATAAACTTCCCACTGTGCCTATTGCTTCCTTTTTCTTCAACACAGCTTGGGATTTCGTGCTTCTATTGTTTACTCACGCTATTCTTTATCCTCCACAAAATGTCAATTCTTTAAAAACCTATCACTGCATGGTGAAATCTACCACATTCTTGGAGGACAAGCTCAAGTGCTACTTCCCCCACTAAGTCTTCCCAGATTGTTTGCAGCCACAGAAATAATCTCCTCTAAATGCCCAGGGCACTTGAGTCATGTCTTTGGGACACTTAACACTTTGTCTCCTTAAACTTATTGATAGTAAAAGCCAAGTCTACCTTTATATCTTGTATAAAAGCCTAACGCAATGCCTTCCACGTAATAAACACCTATCTAGTAAATGAATGAATCTAGATAAAAACATTGGGATGTTTCTAATTTGTATTTTTTAAATAAAACATTTTAAAGATTTATTTTCTTAATTATTAAACAGATAAAAATCCAGAGTGTAATCTAAATAACACAAATGTCTTTCTCTAGCGTTAATTTTTAGTATTTTAGCTTAATTTTCTTATAAAAGTCAATTTCAAAAGAAACTAAAAATTCATAAGAAATACATTTAATATTTTCTATCCGTATCATAAAAAACAAATGTAATATTAAAATTACTTGCATTACATGTATTATTTTGCTAGAACAGAAAAACTCTTCATGATGCCCAAATAAACAAAAAAACTAACAAGTTATTGAAAATGAAGAATAAATCAAATCTCAATAATCAAATGTTAATTTATTGAAAGAATACACTGAGAACACTAATGATGTTTCCAACAACTAGTTATTTCAGAAGTTCATTCTGTTAGAGTGAGCTGAATGCTCAATCATCACTGTAGAAATAATTTTAATGCAAACACTGTTTGTAAAAAGATATAAAATTAAAAATAGTTTCAGAATCCAGTTTGATATGTCTAAGATTCCCTATATAGCATAAATAAAACTTAGTAAAAAGTCAGTCACATAGTAGAAATTCTCAGGAAAAAAAAATTTAGAATGAAAAAGAGTTAAATATATTCAAATCAGACACCTACCTGCATCACCTTCTGTTGAATCTCTTCTAACTGTGTGCGTTTACTACGTTGCCTACAAACTTCCTGGTAGCGGGTATATTGCTCTCGGAGTGAATCTAATAATTTCATAACCTGTGGCTGTGCAAGCAGTTCATCATCCATAGGAGACCATGAGACCCCTCCATCTGAGCCATTAAATCGACGCTGCTGTAATTCGGATAACAATTCATGCCCTTTACAAATAAAAGATACTTGTAATTAATATCTATAAAAAAATAAAACTTTGACTTCTCAATCTTCTCAATTCTAGTTCCTTGTTTTTAAAACCTATCTGTCTACCTGCCTACCTACCAGGTCATGAGTACTGAAATGCAATTTAAAAATTTAGGTATCACAATAAACAGAAAAACTGCATATATGTGTGTATATATGTGCACATATATACTATACAAGTTAGATAATATATTAAAATACTGTATCATAAATATATATACCATATATATGCTATACTATCCAGTAAATATAGTATATATATGAAATACATATATTTTCTACTTATCTATCTATCATATTCTTGTTATGGGTAGATTTATTACTTAGGATACTGTGCCAACCAATCCTATTTCCCCGTAGAGCAAAATTATACTCTAGGATTTCTGTCTGATGGTACTAATCCAAACAATATGTTCTAAGATTTCAGTACTAATCCATATTCCCAATCACAGTGCTTAAATAAAAAGTTGTAACAAATGTATGATTAAAGGGAGAATTTTTATTACTGGCACAAAATAATATTTAAATAATCTCTATTTATAAGACTATCCACAATACATTAACTGTGAATCACAATGGGCCATACTAGCGTTGGAACTGCACTGAGTGCGATTCAATTACAGCTACCTCATGTAGAAAATCCACTCATACATGAGAAATTAAAATTGTAGAATGTGTAACATCTAAAGCTACAGGTATTAATATTGAAAGTAAATAAGGTAAAATTGTTTTCTAGAATAAAACTATTCTGATTAATATTTAGATACAAAAACAATATACAGATATTTAAATTTTCTTTATCTTTACTTAGAAAAATATCCTAAATTTAAATGGCTTTCAATAAATAGAAACAGAACTTTTATTATGGTTTGGAAGTATTACCAATTTCTAAAAAATATCCAAGATTATTCTAAATCTCTCTATTTTATATTCTCTTTCAATCCCTACTTTAAGAGTTAATACCATATAAAACAGGACCTAGTAGCATATAAAGTTAATTTTAAAATACAAACTTTAAAAGCTTCTTAATTCAATGGCTTAAAATAAGCAGCTTTCAAAATGTTAAATACATACATGGAATTTAGTTTTAAATTTAGAGCAGTATTATTACTAACAGTCTACTCTACCTTTTAAACATATAATAATTCAGAGATTACAAGTATTTCTTTGTCATCTAAGGAAATAAAATTTGTATCATACTGGAAAAACAGGACAACTGAGTCAATACAACAAAGATATTCAGAATTTATTTCTTTACATTACATTTATAATTGGAAAGATACCTGTTTTAAAGATTTGTGCAAAGTCTTTTTATATATATTCATAAAAGCCATTAATATCAGAATACATTTATTTTTTCTACTTTGACAGCTATTTTCCTTAACGTTTTCCTTATAGATATGGTTTCCATTAGAGAAGCAGCACAACGTAATGATTTCAAAGAACACACTCTGAAACCAAACTGCCTCGACTCAAGTCCCAATTCAAGTATTTACTAGATGTATAACCTGCATAAGTTACTTAACCTTTTTATGCTTTAGTTTCCCCATCCTAAAATTGGGACGATAATAGTACCTACTTCACAGGACTATCGTGAAGAAATGAGTTAACATATGTCAAGTGCTTAGAATAGTGTCTGGTACATAATAGCATTAGAATTATGAGCTATTAGAAAAAAATTGATTAGAAATAAAATTAAGGTATTTCCATTGTAAATAATTACAATTTGTTCTCCTAGAATGTATGAAACTACTACTAGAGATATTTGGGCTGGAATACGCATATCAGGCAGCACTGAGCACTCACTGTGTGCAAGGGCATCACAAGGTGCTAAATATTTTTACATAGATGACTGTAGAACAGTTTAGCTAATGGCTTTGAATTTAGACTTGTTTTGAGCTACGGTGATAGAGCTTAATACTTTGATAGCTTGATCTTGAGCAAATTATTTTATGTCTCTATGCCTTGGCTTCCTCAAGTACAAAACAGAGAAAATAATACCAATTATCTCAAAGGGTTGCTATGAATGAAATACGAAAATTTACAAAAATGCAATGCCTGGCACATAATAAATATTCAATAATTCCTATAGCAACCCACTGAAATAGAAATTTTTATCTTCATATTACAGATAAGGAAATAATCCAAATAATTTATCATTATTAAATTTTTTAAATATTATAAAGTATATGAACACAGGTTAAACCAAAAAGCAGTTTGAAAAATTTCCTCCTGAGTTTCTACCACACGTACCACATATGTGCTGAATTAACGTTTATTTAATGAACCAACCAATCCAACTGGCTTACTGGATTATGATCACTAATAAATATGTTCTTTTCATCTCACCTGTCTGAAGAACTGTTTCAGGATCAACTGACGGAAGAAAGTTTAAATCCACAGACCTGACAAGCACCAAAAGAGTAATTTTTAAAGTTATATTTCTATACATATAACTTAAGAAATTCTTTTATACATACATATCAAAACAAGGGCACACAAATATGAAAATCTGAAGCATATTATGCCACCATGCTAATTTCTCTTAAGCATAAGGAAGTCCATTAGAGAAAATGAAATATTGGCAAGCCAGAGAAATACCAATGTGATAAACCATAAAATATACAACTTAGAAAAATACAGTTTATTGTTATTAATTATAGTATTATTTAAAATGCGTCAAAGTGATCCATTTAGTATTTATCCACTGAATATTTGTTTCAAAATGAAATTTGTAGCACGGGGCTAGTGGTTGCAATGGATTAGGGTTCTAACTACAGATCAGAAGATTCAAAATGAAATTTGTACCTATGTAGTAACCCAGAAACGCAACATTGAAAAGGTATGGAGCTATCCTCCGATCAAAACTTTACTTACCTACGGCCTTTTGCAAATATTCTAATATTTCAGGTAAGAGTGTGGGTGTGTGTGTGTGTGTGTGTGTCTCCTAGCAGTTGCACTCTCTTTCCTATTCTATTTATGCTTCTTGTGCAGTTGGACTTCTGTCTTTATTTTCTTAACCACATATGGAAAGAGAAGATGAAGGAAAGTCAAAGCCAAGGACAGTGCAGCTGTAACTGACTGGTCTTGAGCTAAATTTTTCACTTTTTGTCAGTTGATTAGGCCCTCACATCTTGTACAGCTAGATGGTTCCTGAGGACTGACATAAAGAAGAGGAGGAACTTTATTATCCCGGGTTTAAAAGAAACAGCAATAATACTTAAATTCCTTTAGGAAGGACTGGCAACTACAAGATTTCATTTGTTACTTCACGTAGTCTTGCAAACCAACGTTTTCCAAAGTGTTTCCCAAAATACAAAATGATATTATTAGGTGAAAAAAAAGGGGTCCCATTGCCATATAAGTATGAGAAGTTTTAAGGAAGCAATTAAACAGGTTTCTTTTCTGATTCCTCAGAACCTATAATCTGCAATGCTCACAGTCATTCTCAGGTAGGGAAATTATAGTCAACAGCATTAAATTCTTTGACTATGAACTCATTTTCTACAGGTACCCTCTGGGGATGTCTTTCCTGGGGAATATAACTAAGAAACATCAAATTTAATGTCATAGACTAATCAGAAAGCCAGAAAGTTCAGCTAATTGTTATTAAGTAACTCGTGTGACATTTTCAATTCCTAAACCACAGCATATATGTATCTGTGATACCCCTACACACATAATTATATATTTATATTAATATATATGTGCAAAATTTTATAATTTTATGTTTTTATATGGCATCTATAGGATAACAATGTTCCTAACTGCTATGGTTAACTTTAACTAGATTTATATTCAAACCGTTTTTTTTTTCACATTTTGACTTTGTTTTAATCAAGATTTGGTGTTAAAACTATGATCTTGTTGCATCTCTCTTACCTTATTATCTCAGTTAATTAATATGTGACCACATTTAGATTCATGGAATAACAGGAAGCATTTACCAAGGTTCCACTGTATTTTCAAGGTCAGATTCAAAGGAGATAGACAGACAAGGATGATTGTTGAGTCTTTCAAATTTCTTAATGAAAAATTACTGTTCTAGTGACCAGTAATAATCAAGAGACCAGGAAGAGCTAATTTGCTTCCTAAAGTGCTTTTTATCTGTGGAGAGGAACTTGGCATACTAACAGAAAAATGAAACCTGACAAGGTTGTAAAGTTCAATGGAAATCTGTTAAAACGATAAATCTAGGTAGTTATATTTAGATAATACAACTCAACTATTACTTCATCCCATGTCATAAAACACTAAATTTGCCAAGCTGAACTCATGAATATCACGTACTTTACAAAGGACAGAGAAAGTTCTACAAGCTAGACATTTAAGTGCTAATGTATTTAAATAAGGTTATAATAATTTTATTTCAAGCTGCAACCTTTTTCATATTCTTCAATAGCAAAGAGTAGAACTCTAAAAAGGCAGAAAATTGTTTCATTTTGAGAATATATTCTTGTAACTGAACATTTTACAGTCTCAGAAAAAGGTAAATACATTACTATTCATCAAAAAATGGCTTTTGTAAAGAAACTGATTCAAATCAATACGTTTTACATGCAAATTCTCATGAATTTGATTTTGATCGAATGCAGACTTGTTTACTGTAGTTCTTCCAGCTTATATTAACATAGAGGTATCTTTTATGAGATTAATCATAGCTTTGCAAGGATATAATTGCAGGCCACTAGCCACCTACCTTTCTTTCTCTTGCTGATTTCCTTTATCACTTCCATTGTTAATCAAAGCAAGTTCATCCAATAATGATGTAGATTCCTTTGTAAACTTCTCAAAAACCTACAATATGAGATTTTATTAACATACTAAGAAAAATCTTAAAAGTTAATATGTAACAAAAATCAACAGTTAAGAGCAATAGAATTAGCCAGCCAGGATTCCCTTTCTTTTCCTGGACATCACTTAGTGCAATTTGACCACAACAGCTCGACACTGTATGCAAGAGAAGGCAAAACTGCTTCTTAAAACAATGACTGGTTTAAATGAATAAGGAATTTTTAAAATTTAAAATCATAAAGAAATTATTTTATTCACCATTGAGACAGTTTTATTTTTATTCCTGTGTTTCTCTGAGAAACACTTGCACCAATGACAGCTGTAACTATATGAATGTTACTCAGACATGTTCTAAGCCTCCAATACCAGTTACAGAGCATTTCTTTATGTTATTCTATCACCAAGCCACATTGCTTACTTGTAATGCTTAAGAGTTTTATATGTAAGTATGTAGCATAAAAATGATTTAGTTACAATTTTAATATGATTTCTTCAAATATTTCTAAAAAGGTATTTGGGCAAGTATGTTGACATGTAATAAAGTAGACAACCACTTGTCTGGCAACACTTTTCAAATATAGTGGAAATAGAAATGGTTATCCATTCAGAGAAAACTGAAAGTTTATTATTCTCCTATAAAATTAGCATATAACCTAAACTGAGTTAATTTAAAGCTTGTTCTTTTAGGAGTTTATTAAAACAACATTGAATTATATAGAGTAGCTGATTTCAAAAGTCTGGACTGACAAAGAAGATACATTTTCAGAAATGAAAATATTTAATCTGTCAAACTGCTCAAGTTGATAATTCCAGTTGATATTTAAATATCCTCTGAAAATGGTATATCTACTAGATTGCCTCTCAAGAAATTATGCTACTCTGCTATTCTACTGAAAAAATTTACAACTTTTACTAATGCTGTTAATGACAACAGTAATAGCTAACACTTATATGGTGCTACTAACGTCATGTCGGGTGCTGTTCTAAGTGCTTTATACGTATAGTCATTGCATTTTCCCCACAGTTCCACAACGTAAGTACTATTATCACCATATTAGAGATGTGGAAGCCAAGGCAAGGAGAGATTCAATACATTGCTGAAGGTCATATACTTAGCAACTGGCATCAGGATTGTAATCAAGTATTAATAAGTCCAACTCCACTGTACTTGTCCATAAACTATAATGTGGTAGGTACTATATTTCTCCATTTTTGTAAAAAGAGCAATAATCTACATTTTTAGTTGATTAAAATGATAAAGTTATCAAAATGTCTTATTGATATGCAATAACATTTTATCTCATTGTAATATACCAACCAGCCTCTTATTTAACCAGTCCATGTGATCATAGGTGAGACTCCCACCAAAATCTTCTGTTAACTGGCATGGTTCTATATAACGAGTCAACTTATTGGCAGACACTAAAATAACCTATAAAAAGATAAAGTTATATTTAGTAAACCACTATTAAAGTCCATGTATGTAATGACTGGGTAAGATTGGGTAAAAATATGCAATATTATTTCAAACATGATGATACATTATTTAGTAAATATATCATTTAAAATCAATTCAATAAATTGTAGATACCTGCTAAAAAATAATCTATCAAACACTATAATACCACATTTTAAAAAACAAGAGATACTAGCAGCTCACTTAAAATATTTTCAAAAAATATTTTATCAGTATTAACAATTTCTTGGTAATAAAAATCAATTCCTTAACACAATGATGTAAAGAACAAAGGATTTTCATATCACCTCAAAATTAGCTAGGTACACTAAAATGGTAAGTACAATAAATAATAAATCTGGCAATCAATAAATTATACACTGTAAAGTTTTTCTAATATTCCTTTGATTACATATGAACAAAACAAGTCCTCTAGTTGCAAAGTGTAACTCAGGATAACATATGCTAATATTTAATTTGAAAATCAGAACTAAAAATTGGGGAAAAGGTCGGAGAATTCATAAACTTGAAACTTACATATTAAAGTGATACTCTTTTAACACTAATCTTTAAAAGATCTCAAATAGAAATTAGGTAAGTACCTAAGAGACCACTGTAGAACTAAATAAAATTTCAATGAAGATACATTTGAACATAAAAGAAAATACATCTGTGGGAGATATTCAAATGCTAGTGTTAATATAAAATGATATATGGAAATTTGAATTTACTAAAAATGACTTGATAAGAAAAATAATGTGCCCAGCTGGAAAGAGTAGCATTCCCTTCCTAATGACAACAAAAGCCAAATAATCTGTAAAACTGTAACTTTTTTGGAACTCCTAAGAGAGCTGAGGTCATAGGGAAACCAACTAGTTTGAAGCTGAAGAAAAGCCAGACACGAATGGTAGAAGGGGTAACTATAGAAGGTGGGAGCAAACTTTTTGGAACTCTTCTGTATAACTGTGGCAAATCTCATAAAACTGTATGCTAAGGTATGAATTTTACTTTATTTAAATTAGTCTCAATAAAACCGATATTTTAAAAAACGAAAAGAAAAATAAAATTTAAGGAAGACTTATAGAGAAACTAAGAGAAAAAGAGAGGAGGAAAAGAAAAATTTAGAAACAGACCCAATATGCAAAACTAGGTACATCCATACTATATATGAAGTTATAATAATATTTCACTGGTCAGAATTTAGTCACTTGGCCATACCTAGCTTAAAGGAAGGTTGGGAAAGGAAGTCTTTATCCTGAGTAGCCACATGCCCAGCTATTTATAGCCCAGCTATAAAAAATGGGGGTCCTATTACTAGGAAAAAAAGGAAAAATGGATACTGGGTGAGACAACTGGTAGTCTATGCCACAGTTATTTATTTTTGGATTCTGCTGAATGGGTTATTACATGGTGTCATAGAAAGAGTAAAGGCTTTGAGGGAAAATTACCAAGACTGCTTTGCCAACAGGGAGAAAAAATTATCCTCAGGAATATATCAAAAACAATACAAAAAATTCATAAAAACTATCAGAGACAATGGACTCTATCAAATTAGAGTTTATAACAAATTGCTATTGATAATAAGATACGAAATGGAAATTAACAGCCTTAAATATTTACATTAGGAAAGAAAGGCTGGAGAATAATGAGATAAGAGACTCACCTAAGAAGTTAGGAGAGGAAAAAGACAGAGTAAATCCAAA